CATTGACATGGTTTACAGAACCAATAGGAATGCATTGGAGGTGCATTCATAGACATCAACAGGGTTAACTCTGGCAAAAGCTATCAATGGTATCATCATGGTAGAAGGTGGCAGCATGAATTACAGATATCTGCTGAGTTACCAATGCTTGTTATATCTTGGAAATTATTTTTCCTCACATTGCCAAAAGGAACACTTGCCTTAATATGGTCATAAGTGCCTTGCGATTCTATGGCTATCAAGAAGTTTTACCCATGGTAACAATCACTATATACATAAACATGGCTTAGAGAACCAATAGGAATGCATGGGAGCTCCATTAATTAATATCAACAGGGTTTGTAAAGGCAGGAGTGATCAATATCATAAGCATGGGCATAGGTGCCAGCATGAATTATGTGTATTAACTTAGTTACCAAATGTTTGTTAAATCTTGGAAATTGCCATTCCATACATTGGCAACAAGGAAAACTTACATTAACATGATCACCTGCAGCAGGAAAGATCATGGAAATCAACATGGAATACAGTGGTTTACAAGATCATGAGCATCAACATTGCTACCAAAAGTAGTAGGAATAACATTATGTATCTAATCCTGGACATCCATTTTGGTAACAGAAGCCGCAGGGATCATTTAAATCCACAAGGTTTTAGGAGGCAACACGTAGATTGGATAGCCACATAGTTTTCTATGATAGTTGAGGTCAGGGATATTAACATTCCTCATATTGAAAACATAGAACTCTTGCATCAACGTGGTCTCAGGTAGCAGGAAAGATGGACATCAACATCAGATCCATGGGCAAAGAAGTACCTGGTATCAACATGGATTCCAGAAATAGTGGTAATAGCATGGTATGTCTGCTCATGGATATCATCATGTTTAACAGGTGTAGCAGGCTGAAAAAAATTCTTTTTGTTTGGCGGTGACAGCAAGTATTCCAGGTATCAACTTAATTTCATTTGGTCTTTTCGTTCTTCAAAATTTACATTGTTCATGTTGGCAACACAGATCACTTTCATTAATATGGCCATAAGGGGCCAGAGATTTTATGGCAATCAAGATGTTATCCCATGGTAACAAGGACCACATGAATCAACATGGCTTACAGAACAAATAAGAATGCATCACAGGTACTTTCATAGACATCAACAAGTTTAACAGAGGCAGCAACGGTCAATGACATCAGCATGGGTGCATGTCGCAGAATGAATTACAGACTTTAGCTAAGTTAAGAAAGTTTCATTAAGTCTCAGGAATTATCATTCTATATATTGCCAAAAAGGAACACTTACCTTAACATGGTCACTTCTAGCAGGAGACATCATGGAATTAAGCCTGGTGTCCAGTGGTAAGAAGATCGTGAGTATCAACATTACTTCCAGATAGCATTGCCCTTCTAACCATGGATATGCTCATGTTTAAAAGATTCAGCTAGGATTAATGACCCCAACTTGTTTGGAGGTAGCAGCATGCATTCAGGATATTATAGTTTCTGTTAGTATTTCAATTCTTAGAAATTACATTCTTCATATTCACAACACAGAACATGAACATTAGTAAGGTCATAAGGAGATGGAGAATTCATAGCAATCAAAGTGTTGTCCCATGTTAACAAGGATCACATGCACCAACATGGCTTACAGAACCAATAGGAATGCATAGGAGCTCCATTCATTAATATCAACAGGGTTAGCAAAGGCAACAGTAATCAAAGACATCAGCATGGCTGGAGGTGGCAGTATGAATTATGTGTATCAACTTAGTTAGCAAAAGTTAGTTAAATCTTGGAAATTACCATTCTATACATTGATAACAAGAAACACTTACCTTAAGATGGTGACTTGTAGCAGGAGATATCACAGAATTCAACATGGTTTCCAGTGGTCAGAAGATCATGAGCATCAACATTGCTTCCAGAAGTAGTAGGAATGGCATTGTGCGTCCAATCATGGACATGCATGTGGTTAACACAGGGAGAAGGTATCAATGACATCCACATGGTTTCAGGTAGCAGCATGTAGAATGGATAGTCACATAGTTTACTATGGTAGTTGAGACTAGTGAAATTAACATTCTTCATGTTGGAAAGACAGAACACTTGTATCCACATGATCTCAGGTAACAGGACAGATGTACATCAATATCAGATTCATGAGCAAGAAAGAACACTAGCTTCAATATGGCTTTCAGAAATAGTGGTAATAGCATGGTATGTCTGCTCCTGGACATCCACATGTTTAAC